ATGTATAGTGTGTGTGTGTGCTTGTGTATGTGTGTGTGTGTGTGTGTGTGTGTGTGTGTGTGTGTGTGTGTGTGTGTGTGTGTGTGTGTGTGTGTGTGTGTGTGTGCGGTGTGCGTGTGCGCACGCGTGTGTGTGTGTGTGGTTAAGGAAGCGTGCGTGTGCTGTAAAGGCTCATGCACTGTGTTTGTCAAGTGTACAGCCACATCTGATTTGTCATGCGAATAAGCAAGCCTTTCAATCTTACCACATTTTTTCAAAATAGGAATAGTCCGTCTTTGGTGCGTTTAGCAAGACCAATAGAACGATAAAGTCAAAAGATATATACATACCTTAAACCCCAAGAGGAGAGGGCGACCCGGTGGGCGTGAAGTGAAAGACGCCGAGGCCCACCGAGGTAGCCCGCCCTCCTTTCTCTCTAAAGCTATACATACCACAGAAGTCTTTTATCCTTGCATGGTAAATTCTTTAACTATAACTCGAGTCCCTTTTCCTCTCCTCGTCCTCGAACCCCCGCTCCGAGTCGCTCCTCCGGCGCCGACGATTCACTCTTTTCTTCTCTTTCTCTTCCCGTTCGCTCCCCCGCCCCACGCCCTTCGCAGTGAGCGTGGCGGGCGAGGGCGAAGGAGGCGCGACAGAGGGCGGGAACAGCGAGCTCCTGGAGGCCGTCGCGGAGGCCATGTGGCACGTGTCGTCCCTGCCCGAGCACGTGGTCGTGGTCAAGGAGCTGACGGCGGTGCCCGTGCTGGTGGCGCTGCTGCATCACAACGACGAGAAGGTCGGTGGCAGCGTCCGCCTCCTTTGCCTTCGGGGGCGCAGGGGCTCGATTAACTTAATGGTAATAATGATAACCTTATTAGTGATCTTATACGTAAAGTTGACGTTTCTCTCGCTGCGCCCTTCCACGTGTTCCTCGGCGCAGGTGCTGACGAGCGTGGTGGGGGGCCTCGGGGAGGCGGCCGGCGACCCTGAGTGTTGCACGATCCTCCTGAGAGGCGGCGGCGTGACCACGCTCATCCAGCTCCTCCGGAGGACGTCGGACAAGTTGCTGCTGAACGTGACGCGCGCGCTCGGGGCTTGTGCCGCCGACGAGGAGGCCCTCGAAGCGCTCCTGCAGCAGGACGGCCTGCGCCTCCTGTGGTCTCATCTCAAGAACCCCAACTGCCGCGTCCAGGCCTCTGCTGCCAACGCCATCTGCACCTGCCTCCAGCAAGAGTCGGTCAGTCTCCCGCTCCGTCAACGCACAAAAGTAGATAAGAAAGTAGGAATAGCATAAAGGTCAATTACACTGCGTCCCGATGTGTTGCAGGAAGACCTAGCGGAAGTCGTGAGGAGCCTCGTGGGCGGCATCGAGCTCCTGGTGTCCCTGCTGGAGAGCGAGAGCGAGGCCGTGCTGTCCGCCGTGTGCGCCGCCATCGCCAGGATCGCCAGAGACCCCCAGAACCTCGCCATCATGACGGACTACGGCGCCGTCACGTCCCTCTCCAAGCTCGCCGTCAGGGTACGGCCGGCAGGTGACGGGGCCGCGGGAAACGGGGGAACGACCGCCGCAAATTATACGAGAACTACCTGTTAGGTTGTCTCCATATTTCCTGAACAATCGTACTCAGACGGACACGAAGGGAGGGCTCGATTGGGTAGCGATGTTGAGAATACAAAGCCATAAAATCATTACGCCATTTGCTTCCAGCTGGGTGGTATGCATATATATTTTAAGAAGACTTTGGTAATGTAGAAGAAGGAGGAAAGAAATACAAACCAAGAGTAAGGCAAAACCTTACCTTGGTCACCTGGAAATATTCACTGGAAATTAACCCTTTTCCTTCCTCTCTCTCTCTCTCTCTCTCTCTTCCTAGGCTGAGAGGGTCACCAAGTCAGGAGGGGGTCACGAACATAGAGATTCGAAGATTTCGCTCGCTATCATAAGAGGGTTTTGATGATGTCACTGTAGTCTTAGATCAGATCTCTCGACAGTCTTTTTATTATGCAAAATATAACGCTTTCGTATTCTTTATCATAAGACTGCATCCACTATAGCAATAAATTGGCCATTTTTTACAGGCAGAAGGAGAAAGGTAAATTTAAGGTTAAATGATAAATATAGACAATGTAATCAAAAGTATTTTTTGTAAACACAGTGTAACTTTGAAGTATGACGCAGGTTGGTCCATGTCAAGAACGATTGATGGATACAATAGGAAACACTGTTCTGAAAAATACTTTGGGAGGATTCGTGTATCTCTGGTAACACTGAATTCATCGTAACTTCAGTCATATGTGTATATCATTCCTTTTCTCTGCTTTGGATAAAAAAGACAATTTTCTGAAATGGACCACTCTGTATCGTAAACGCTTGCTGTGAATGCCTATTCTAAAAATGATCGCATGTCTAAAACGATTAATTTCCCTTTCTTAAAACCACAATATCTTGTTCTGTCTTATGTGTGACCCTTCCCCCTCCCCCCCTCAAAATTAGTATTTGTTCACGCCTGGGAATACCCTTGGCTCATCATCGTCTGTGACCTCTGACAAATAGCCTCTGATGACCTCCCTGTGTGTGTGTGTGTGTGACCTGTTACGACCTCGTTTCTCACAGCTGATGCGAGGTCGTGAACCCTCAGAAAGCCCAGCTAAAGCCCGCGGAAGAGCAACACGAGGAGGAGGTCAACCTTGCAACCCCAGCAGCGGACCCAATCTTAAAGTTGTTATTCCCATCACTTAGCCTCTTTTGGTCGTTATTCTTTGATTTCCTTATTCATTCATGACTTGTTGTTGTTATACTTATTTTCTCTCATTTTTCTTTCAACATATCGTATCTTATCTCCCTAGAATCTTGTTTTTTCTCTCTCCTCCATGTTACTTTCTACCTTCTGAAATTCAGGACAGCAAAAATTCTCGGTGTGTATCTTAGTATATCCCGTACGTGCATACATACCTTTTTCTCTTTTTTTGTTATATTCAAGAATTCCTTCCTTACCTTTTGGTGGCGCATCGCAAGTTAAGTGTTGAAGGTGGGACTCGATAGCGCCCAAGTTTCTCCTAAGCCCGAGAAGGAGGACACGAGGGCTAGGTCGAGTGTGGTCGGAGGGTGCAGGCAGTCACGGTAGATGTTGATAGTGATGATAATGATGATTTAGTGATAGCGATGATTATAGTAATAATAATGCTGATAATAATGATAATGGTGATGATAATGATAATTTAGTGATATGATAATAGTAATAATGATGATGGCGATGATGATAACAATAATAGTAATAATGATAATGATAATTTGATTATAGTGATGATAATAGTAATAATAATGATAATGAGGATGGTGATGATAGCCATAATAATAATGATGATTCAGGCCCTGGCCATGGCCCCAGCCCCGAAAAAAAAATCATTTCATCCAACTGAAAAAACAAGGGGTCGGCCACAGGGCTATATATTTACAATTTTCATACCGTAAAACAATAACCAGAAACCTACTTAAGTTCACTTTTTCTCAGCAACCACAAGGATTTGGGGGGGGGGGTTCTTGGGCATGTTAGAAAGGTCTCGAGGTCCTGCGTGGCTTAGGCTATGTGGTGTTCTGATAAGGGGTCCCTATAAGGGGTCAGGACACGAAAATCCTCTAAAATCATACAGCTTAAATATTGAAGCAACAGTACATGGTTACAGGTTTATTTAGGGTGCCATAGAAACCTATCACAGAGTAAATTACTAAATTAGACTACCTATGGTATGAAAATTTTCATACCCCTTATAGACCCCTTAAATACACCCTTAAACAACGGCAAGGGTTATAGAGGTGATCCAGGGTGCTATGGAAAGCTATCACAGAGTAATTGAGAATGGATATGGTTAGAGTACTCGTATACCCCTTATATACGTCTTATAGACCCCTTAAACACCCCTAAACAACGGAATGGGTAAGGGAGATGATCGAGGGTGCTATGGAAGGCTATGATAGAGTAGAGGCGATTGGGCACGGTTTGACATCTCGCATTCCCTATAAATATAGCGGGCGTAGGTACATGTGTCACCTTTTCGGGGTGGCGCCTCTAAATTGCATTTTGAGTGTGATATAATGATAATAATGATGATTTCGATAATATTTCCTGGCGGACCCCTCGTAGTGTTGTTTAATCTAAGCCACAGTATTGGATTCCTCTTCACTTTCCCATTTTAAAAAATGGAGAAAATCATCTGCTACTTTAGGTTCTGGCAGATCCCTTCCCACTCGAAAAAAAATGTCATTCAGTGTCAGCTTTCAATCAATCAAAAAAAATGTCAGCTGTCATTCGAGAAAAAAAAAATTCTTTGCCTGACTGCCTGTCACTATCTCCGGCCATGACGTCGACACTCAGACCCCCCCCCCGCCTTTGTTATTTGTTTTTCTTGAGATCTATAGAAATTTCTTATCTCCCCTCCTCTCCCCCAACTTTCTTCCCTCTCCCCACTTCTCCCCCGCCCCTTCCACCCCCACCCCCACGAGGACGCAGCGGCGGGCGGATGGGCGGGAGGCGGCCGTGGTGGTGGGCGTGGTGATGCTTATGACAACCTCATCTCTTCTGGACGCCCGGATGTGACGCGTCGGGGGTCCTCCATTCTCATCTCTGGGCCTTCTCTCCCTCGCCCTCTCTCCCTTCTCTCTACACAAGGCCATACATACTGATTCTCCTTCAATACTCGTTCAGTACAGTGTTACTCTGACACGGAACGATACATACAAACTATTTATTGGCAGTTGAACACAGAACTCCTAGAGGATAAGTAGATTGCAACGGAGTGTGCAAACTGAACATGAACTGATACTAACACTGTACAACATCAAATATACATTGGAAGGACTTGTATAAATTTCTATCCAGTTTGCCTGGCCCCATACACTAGAAAATGTGTTATGTTCATCTAAAGTATGAATAATATAAAGATAAATTACACTGCGTCCCGATAACAATAACACATACCAATGGAATTATCATGATATACAACTCATAATCAGGGATCAAATATTCAATAAGATAACAAACACAGTCACCACACCGCACCACATCCACACGGAACCACATATCAAACAAGATATAACACACATCATCTATACCATTTCTAAGACACCTATAGTCCGCTATAGATGTAGGTTCGCCATAGAGAGAGTCGCGCTCCTAGAACCAGTCGATTAGATAGATATTTAGTCTTCCAGCCGTATTTGAGACTTTTTATTAGATACCAAGTAGGTAGTTGTTAGGAATGCAAGATAGAGCGCTAAGAATTTTCTAGACTTTCATTAGAATATTTAGACGATTATTAGTAACAAATTAAATGCTCGTATTAATACCTCCTCTGGGCTGATAGGAGCAAAATTACTGTAGAGTTTGACACCATTAGTAATTATCTAACAGCACGGCCTTGTGAATGAAAATTAATTTAATAAGGACGTTTTGCCTTTAGTTTTTAGTTATTTCATCAAAATATTACTACGTGGATGTCTATAATCTAACTAAAATTTCTAAAGCTAAATTTTATATAGACTAATCAAAATTATTGGGTAGTATATGAAGAATAATTCAGATTATTTGATACCATTTATCCAAAATATAATCGAAGTGAAATGAATATATTTACGTGTTTGATAATATCAATAAGACGTATCTAAATTAAGCAACAGATAGCCATAATTTTAGTTTTAGTTGTAAGGCGATGAAGTGCGGACATAAATATGATATATATAATAGATAGGATTAATGTTTATATAGAGAGAAATTCACATAGCAGCTCATTCTTTTTTGTAAACCTTCGTCTGTCATTTAATTCTTACGTAAGAGCAAATTGTGACGCTGCTCTCCACTCCAGTCCACTCCACTCCACTCTACTCCACTTTCCGATTCCTCTTACTCCTCTTCTTCACCTCCCCCCCCCTTCCTCCCCGCCGGCAGATGAATCAAGGTTCCCTTCGTATTCCCTTCCTTACCATCACTTCATTGTGCTCTTGCTGCTGCTAAATCGCCTTTCCTTCTCCTAACTTCTCTTCTTCCTCTCTCTCTTCTAACTTCTCTTCTTCTTCTTGTTCTTTCTTCTTTCTATCCTTTTTCTATTCTCCAACTCCTCTCTACTTTCCACTTTCATCGTCCCTTCTCCTCTCTCGCCTTCCTTCCTCTTCTTCTTCACGTTTACCATTCTTCCTCTTTTCCACCTCTACCATTCCTCCTACTCTCTCCTTCCACTTCTATCCTCCTCCTTCTCTCCCTACCACTTCTATCCTTCCGTCTCCTCCTCCTTCTATCAATTCCACTTCTCTCCTCCCTTCTGCTTCCTGTTTCTTCTCACCTCTCACCTTCCTCTTCTGCTCTCCTCGCCCTCTCCCCTTCCTCTTCTACTCCTCATGTTCCTCCTCACTCCTCCCCTTCTTCTTCCTCTTCTGCCCTCCCCCCTTCCTCTTCTCTCCTCCTGTCCTCCTATTCCTCACTGTTCACTCCTCGCCCTCTCCCCCTTCCTCTTCTACTCCTCCCTCCACCCCTCCTCTTCTCTCTCCTCCTACTCTCCCTCGTCCCTCCCTCTTCCTCTTCTGCTCCTCCTGTTCCTCCTCGCCTCTCCTTCCTCTTCTACTCCTCATGTTCCTCCTCGCCCTCTCCCCCTTCCTCTTCTGCTCCTCCTGTTCCTCCTCGCCCTAACACCACAGTCCTCCTCGCCCTCTTCCCCTTCCTCTTCTACTCCTCCCTCCTCGCCTTCTTCCTCTTCTGCTCCTGTTCCTCCACCTCCTCAACTCCTCCTGTTCCCTCGCCCTCGCTCCTCCTGTTCCTCCTCGCCCTCTCCCCCTTCCTCTTCTGGTTCCTCCTCGCCCTTTTCCCCTTCCTCTTCTAGCGCGAGGCCCTCCTCCTCGCCCTCTTCCCCTTCCTCCATTCTCACCACACAGCCTGCGGGACCGTCCAGCCTCCCCCGGGGGGCGCGGCGGAGGAGTAACCGCAGACTGTCTGTCCCGCCACCAGGTTTGGAACTGTCCTCGTGAGGGATCGGAGAGTTCCTGCACCCGACGACGCAAGGTGCCACTCGTTCCGACGCAGGCAGTCGCAAGCAGCACACTTGCCCCTCTCTCACGAGATCCCGTCAGGACTGGTTGATCTGTGTCTCTCTCTCTCTCTCTCCCTCTCTCTTATTTTTACTAGAAAGAGAAGAATAAAAGGATGTGTATATTTTTTATCGTTACCAAACCTAACCGCTATTTTTCACCACCACTACTACCCATCAATTACTACTATTGTTGTTACAATATATATCCTATTTTTACTCCCATCACTTCCATAAATGCTCCTTATAAGTGGCCCAACTGCTGACCAGGCATCCCAACTTTGTTTTGTCTAGACTACGACCTCTCTTGACCTCTGATCTCTCAGCTGGCCCGGAAGTCCGCAAGCCTGGCAGAGGAGGACCTGGTCGCTCGCGTCGGTCCCGTCGGCTGAGAGAGGCTGGTCGGGAAACAGCTTGTCTTGGAAACCCTTTCACCTCTCTCTTGATTCTTTGTTTATGTGTGTCTTTTTCATTTCGCGACATGGCTAGTACACCATCTCTCTGGCACTTTTTGTAGTCTCGTCTGCCTCCTCTCCTTTGAACTCCTTTTTTTTGTGTATATTTCTCGGATATATTTCTCATTCTCGATCCTCTTGGTCTCTTTTCACATTTGAACTAATATAACATGATTTCTTAAAAAGTAATTCCCATGAACATGTCCTAAATAACTACAAGTTCATGTTTAAATATTAAAAAAAACAAAAACATATATAACCCTAACAACTCCCACTCCCAAATCTCCCTGTTAACCTTGTGTCGTAACCACTTAAAAGCTCTTTATAATAAATCACTCTCTATCGTCCTTGGCCATTGTCTCCAACCTGCCGGCGTGACTGAGCTTTTCCCCGGCAGGAGAACGACAGCCTGAGGCCCTACCTGGCGGAGGCGATAGCGGCGTGCTGCGTGTCAAGGGAAACCGGGCTCCTTTTCGGCCAGGCGGGCGCCGTGGCTCCGCTCGTACAGTGAGTCAAGGGACACGGTATATTTACGTTTTTTTTGTTATTCTATTTTGATTATTTACGTTTATTTCCTGTTTTGTTATTTCAACTTCTTTTTTTTTTTCATTCTTCTTTATCTCTCCTCGAATAATTTTGAGTTCTTATTGTCCTCAGGTATCTTGAGACGAACGACAGCACCATCAGGAGGCCCACCTGCAGGGCGCTGCACCGGCTGTCGCTCGAGCCGGAAAATTGCGTCACTCTGCACCAAAGCGGCGCCGTCCCCGTGAGTGGATCTGCGTGCGCGAAGGGAAGGGCTTGACCGCGTGCGCACGCACACACACACACACACACACACACACACACACACACACACACCACACACACACACAGTTGAGATTCGTCGTTATGAATCCGTGTAAACATTCTATTGCGTTACAGTATGTTATATATATGTATATATATATATATATATATATATATATATATATATATATATATATATATACTATATATGTATACACACACACACACACACACACACACACACACACACACACACACACACACACACACACACACACACACACACACACACACACACACACACACACACACACACATATATATATATATATATATATATATATATATATATATATATATATATATATATATTATATGCATATATATATGTCAGATGATACTTCATGTTTACACACCGCAGTCAATTAAGATTTTTGTGAATCTAGCTCTTGATTTACATATTGTATCTTTATCATCATTTCCTTCGTATCTTTTCCCCCTTTCCTCTTCCCTATTAAAAAAAAAAAAAAAAAAAAATAAATAATAATATAATAATAATAAAAATAAATAAATAAAAATTCCATCTCTTTCCGGTAACGTCTCAGCTCCTCCTCGAGATGCTGGGCTCCGAGGACGAGGTGGTGCAAGAAGCGGCTGCCGACTGCCTGAGGAACATCCGGCTGCTGGCCCTGCAACGTTGCAAAGCCCAGGGCCGCACCAACAGGTCCACGCCGAGAGGCAATCACAGCTCGAGGCGATAGCTGGGGAGAATTAGAAGAAAAAATAGATAAATAGAAATAAAAAGAGAGAGAGAGAGAGAGAGAGAGATAAATGAAAATTGATATATTAGATAGGTAAATAGAGAGATGGATAGATATAGAATAGAAATGAAAAGATAGATAAATGAAAATTGAGATATCAAATAGATAGATAGATAGATAGATGAATGGATATAAATTTCTATTTGAAACGACTATCTGGGAACCACGAAGAACGACCTGAAGAAGGCGTGACGACTATCGAGAACAGATCACTAAAGAATAAAGAACAGAACTCAACGACAAGGATTTGTGATTCTCGACTGATGGGAAAATGCAGTCTGTTAAGAAGTCTTGAGAAACATGAAGACTTTTAAGAGAAGACTTAAAGGTCAAGCAGGAGGAGGTAAAGAAGATGCGACAGGTCAGGCACTTGACGATGTTCCTTTTGGTGTTTCTTTATCTCTTTCTCTCTGCCTGTTTCTCTCTCTCTCTTTCTCTCTGCCTGTTTCTCTCTCTCTCTTTCTCTCTGCCTCTCTCTTTCTTTCTCTCTGCCTGTTTCTCTCCTCTCTCTCTCTCTCTCTCTCTCTCTCTCTCTCTCTCTCTCTCTTCTCTCTCTCTCTCTCTCTCTCTCTCTCTCTCTCTCTCTCTCTCTCTCTCTCTCTCTCTCTCTCTCTCTCTCTCTCTCTCTCTCTCTCTCTCTCTCTCTCTCTCTCTCTCTCTCTCTCTCTCTCTTCTCTCTTCTCTCTCTCTCTCTTCTCTCCTCTCTCTCTCTCCTCTCTCTCCTCTCTCTCTCTCTCTCTCCTCTCTCTCTCTCTCTCTCTCTCTCTCTCTCTCTCTCTCTCTCTCTCTCTCTCTCTCTCTCTCTCTCTCTCTCTCTCTCTCTCTCTCTCTCTCTCTCTCTCTCTCTCTCTCTCTCTCTCTCTCTCTCTCTCTGTTGACTTTATATATGGATGATAAAAAAAATGAATTAAACTAGATGATATAACAAATCTAACTGAAAAATTTTCACATCAGAAAGTCACTGGTTTAGAGTAAAATCTCAACACAAGGAAAGCAAGTTCAAAAAGTTTTGTTTTTTAGGTGATAGAAAAGTTAACGGTATTTAGGATTCAGTTCTGTTCCATGTGTCAAATATTTCGATGAATATTCGATGCATTATGGAGTAATTCTATAAAATCAAAGTAGCATTATTGCAAGTGCTCATATTTTGATATTCATTATGGCTATTGCTTTAATAAAGTAAAATCATTAGAATAATCAGATGAGGAATCGAAGCAAATGTTAGACTTTTTCCCTTGGTAAAAACTCTATTATCTGCCTAATTCGCCTATATACTCTTGTCTCTGCTCTTTTTTGACTTAATAAGTTTCTCTGTGTTAGCTTGTTACGCTTGCATCGAATTTGTGAAATGGAATGTAAAACAAATAAAAAAAAAAAAGTATCCTTATTGATGTGTTTCATTAAATTTTGCAAATTATTGCAGATAGCACATTCCCCCCCCCCTTTCTCTTTCCATCTGTTTATAACTCTCTCTCTCTGAATCTCCTCTTCTTCCCCTTATCCTCCTCCTTCTTTTCCTCCTCCTCCTCCTCCTCCCCCTATTCCTCATTCTCCCTTTCTCCTCCCTCCCCTTCTCTCCATTCTCCTTCTCCTCTTCCTCCTCATCCCCATCCTCCTCCTCTTCCTTCTTCTTCTTCTTCTCCTCCTCCTCTTCGTCTTCTTCTCCTGCTCCTCTTTATTCACCCTTTCCTTCTTCTTCTTCTCCTCCTCTTCTTTTTCTTCTTCTTCCTCCTCCTCCTCCTCTTTATCTACAAATTCTTATTATCCATCCCTATCCCTACAATGAAATAAAGGAACAGAATTACACAAAGCATAGAATTCTTAAAACTATGTTCCAAGATTACAGGATAAACATAGATAATGAGTAAGCATGAAAGATAGACAGCAAAAGATTAGATGGGAGAAGTTATCTTGAAATACCATTGATTCATATCGATAACGAGCTATTAACTGAAAACGGAAGAGATGAGGGAGGTGTGATAAAGAGAGGGAGAGAGAGAGAGAGAGAGAAATCATTGAGATATGTGTGAGGTATGGACAAAACAGAGAGAGAGAGAGAGAGAGAGAGAGAGGAAGAGAGCGAGAGAGAGAGAAGAGAGGAAAGAGAGCGAGAGAGAGAGAGAGAGAGAGAGAGAGAGAGAGAGAGAGAGAGAGAGAGAGAGAGAGAGAGAGAGAGAGAGAGAGAGAGAGAGAGAGTGAGTGAGTAAGAGGTCGAGAGAGATTAATCAAAAAGTGTGGTAAACAACTTAAAAAAAATGAACAAAATAACTATGCAGCAGAATGTTGGTGATAACGGAATCTTATCTCACAAACTATGATAACTGTAGTGGAAGTACCGTTTGCAGTACAGAGAACCGCTGGGTGGCGAAGAGGTCGTTACCAGCACGAAATCTGCTCGTTTCCCTCAATTCTTCGTTTCAGTTATATCTTCTGATTTTTTTTTTCTTCTTCTTCTTTTCGTTCTCCTTTCTACGAGAGGATATCATCTTATGCAGTATTAACGGTAAGCAACATTGGTTTGGATCACCATTCTGTTTGTTTACATTTCAGATTGCCGGGAAGATGTTTTGGGATGTTATTGAAATAGATGTGGTTGTTAAACGCGTGTGTATTTTCGTGTCAGATAATGGAGAATTTCCGTTGGTTATGTCATGTTGTATTTGGGTGGTGACCATAACCAGAAAAGTGTCGGCTTTCTGACGAGAAAAGCCACAAGGAAACCTACGCTGGATTATATCAGAAAGGTCATTGATCACACTAAAAGGAAAACCCGTAGATATAGATATCATACGACTATGCACCCATATCCCAATCTTTTTAGGACGAATTCGAGGAATATTACGAATCACTGGACATTACCGTAAAACTTGCGAGAACGAAATCAGAATTACCATGGGAGACAGAACTAGATGAAGGCAAAAGGATAAAAGTGGTCGAGAGACCCCCTGTATCGCTTTTTAATGGTATTTATGAGGATTTTAACATTAATTCACGTAACTATGAAGATTTTCTGACTTGGGTAAAGCAGGAAAGTGGGCAGGGGGGAATGAGTGGTGTGAAGATCATAACACAGTAGTCATGAACACTTGGTGCAAGCAACACACTTGGACAAGCCCAGACAACCAACACAGGAACCAGGGGCCGGATTCTCAAACGCGTTAAGGCGCCGTATCTCCTTAAGGCGCCTTAACTTACGAGCGATCTTACAAACCCATACACAGAGCAAGGGACCCGCCACACTGATGCGAGTTAAGGCGGCTTAGGTTAAGGCAGGGGGAGAGCAGCCTTTAACGCTTTACGTCGGGCGGGGAAGCAACCCTTCGCTCTTATACAAGGGAAATACAGCAGGGCGGTTAAGGCCTCCAGAGCGGCTCAACTAAAGGCTCTTTTGAGAACCCAGATAGACTACATTAGCATTAACGACAGACAAGAACTCATGTCAACAACTGCAAAACGAAACCAAGAGCTGTGGCTCAGACCATAACTTGTTTGCAAATACAAGCTTGAGATCAAAACTTAATCTAAGAGCACTTCGTAAACCACAAATGCAAAAGAACTATAATAGAGCAGGTCAGAACATCAGAGAATGATCAAGATTCGAAGAAATCCAAATTTGCGAACATGATCTTATGACACTGGTTTTATCCCAAGACAAGCGTCCATTTTTATCCCGCTGCCTAAAAAAAGAGACAGCACTATGCAACAACTACCGACTTTTTGAGCCATATTAAAATAATCGCGTGTGATAAGGACAAGTGATAAGCAAGATCTCTGTGGAAATTAGCGAAGCACAATTTGGCTTCCGCTGACATGGCTCTAAGAGAGGTATGTCACGTGATTCACTATCCGTTATGACGTTAATTCTATCGTTACTTCTTTTTCCTTTTCTTTTTCCACTTTCTTCTTAGCTCCTTCGTGCGTTCCGTGTGTCTGCCTCCTTCTGCATGTCTGTTTTGTTTGTTTTTCTCCGAATTTCGTGTCAACACCATTTTGTAGGGATCATGTTTTATCTCTATTGTTAAGAAACATCACAACACATTCAGCTATGTAAATATGATAGAACAATACATGTTTATTACCAGTGTAGTTGATAACTAATACAATATGGTACATTTCTATTTATAACTATCGTGTCATCGCTATCATGATCTATACGAGTATTATAAACACTACTTTTTATTGTCAGTGTTATCAGTATTGGGATAATTCCTCTAATTATCATTGGGACAATTCCTCTAATTATCATTCCTGTAACCACCGTAACAATTTGAAGAGTACTCCATTGTTCTTGAAATGTTGATGAAACAAAAATTACGTTAAAAATAGATAAAAAATGCGACCTTGCCAGGATTCGAACCTGGAATCTTCTGATCCGTAGTCAGACGCGTTATCCGTTGCGCCACAAGGCTGTAAAAGGCATTTGAAAAAGGATGTGAAGAATGATTCTCTTTGTTAATTTCCTTTTCAGTTTGGTTATAGTTTACATTGACCGTTTTGATTTTGTTATACTTGTTTCTCTGCAAAAATATAGCATCGTAAGTATTTTACCTTTTTCTTGTCGCTTCTATATATCTGTCGTGTGTATATGTATATGTATCTCTCTCTCTCTCTCTCTCTCGTCTCCTCTCTCTCTCTCTCTCTCTCTCTCTCTCTCTCTATATATATATATATATATATATATAATATATATATATACCATGTATATACATTAAATATAATATTTAACATACATATATGTTTATATACATACATTTATACAGTACATATATATTGATTTTATACAGACACACACACACACACACACACTCACACACCACACACACACACACACACACACACACACACACACACACACACACACACACACACACACACACATATATATATATATATATATATATATATTAATTATATATATACATATATACACAGCGCATATATATGATTACATATATACTATATATATATCATGTGTGT